CTGCAGAGTGGACAACGGGTGCTTTATGGTGTACGACCGCCCAGACTTCATGGGTAACCAGGTCTTCTTGAGGAGAGGGGAATACTCAGATTTTCAGCGCATGGGGAGCATGATGGGCATTATGGGCATGGCGGTGATGGATACCATTCGCTCTTGTCGCATGGTCCCCATGGTAAGACATTTGGTAGTTATTTGTACCTTTCAGGCTTTATTTTCACTGTAATTTTTAATACAATCTGATTTCATATTTGTCTTCTCCGAAGGAGGATGTCCTGGGTTTGAATTAGCCAGCTAGTTGATGCCTCTTATCCCGGATCTCATGTGGTATTCTTGCAGCAGCTCTGATTTCCACCCACAGTCGAAAGACATGCACGTTATGTGAATTGGAAACTAAATGGCATGTGATAGATTGGTGACTCCTGCTTCCAGAACTGGCTCCAGAGCAAGAAATGTAGTCTAGAAAACCCATGGACTGACATGTCTTTTCTTCCTCCAACAGCACAGGGGACAGTTCAGGATAAGGATCTACGAAAGGGAGAACCTTGAAGGCCAGATGCATGAGCTAATGGACGACTGTGAGTCTCTTCAGGATCGTTACCATATGTCTGACTGCCAGTCCTGCAATGTGATGGACGGCCACTGGCTGATGTTTGAGCTGCCCAACTACAGAGGCCGGATGCTGTACGTGAGGCCAGGAGAGTACCGGAACCTCAGAGAGATGGGAATGAGCAACGAGACGAGAATCAGCTCCATTAGACGCATCATGGATATATGCTGATTGTCGTTCATTAAAAGATACTCTAGGTCAAAATTAAAAATTATATTTTGAAGTCTCTTTTGCTGTTTTCTTAATATGGAGTGAACTTACTTACTCTGTAGTTTAGCAGTGGTGCAAGTCCTACTAGAAGTCAGAGGAACACATTGACATTTTTATCTATCTTGTCTGCCTTGGTATGCTGGTGCATTTATTGAAAATTAAAATTGTAAAGGTCAGCTCTGGGTGAGACCACGCAGGGGTTTATATACAAACAGAGTCTCGGAGGGGGTTCAATACCTGACAGGTAATATGTTCCCTTTTTAAAAAAAATATTTTCTTTTCATTAGTTTTACAAAAGGAAAACATACAACAAACCATGCTAATAAGGTGTACATCATGCATCACAATATCACAGCAAACTACAACTAAAATAAGACAGAAACAATATATATTATAATAGAGCCATGTATCACATTATACCCCAGGTTATGTAAAACAGTACCTCCAATTATACATATAAAAAACATGACATGATATCATTGTAGGAATGCGTGCAAGTCTTCATCATAACACGTTGCTGTAACATAAGAGCCCCAGCTTTTTATGCAGATATCTTGCCTATCAATCAGTTTATGAGATTCATGAGAAATTTTTGCTATTTTGTACAGGCACTCCTTCACTGGTATATCCCCTCTGGTTTTCCAGTGTCGCAGCAGTACCCAACATCCAGTGATAAGTACTGTTCTGCACCATGAGATCTGGTGAGCATTTAGTCCACTTCCCTTTGGTATTACACCTAATAGAGCATTGGTCTCTGTACCAGTGCAAACGTCATCACTGTATTAATGAATAAGATAATCTTTGACCAAAGGGATGCACCATGCCGCATGAATATAACATGTGTAAGAGAGTGCCACAAGTAGTATCACGTCTCCAGCACACGTTAGAGTCTCTAAGACTTCCAGAAATCCACATACATTGGTTTCTGTCAAATAAATCCCAAATATAAATGATTCCCAATTTTATTTATCCAGTCCAACGTTCCTTTGCATATTTTGAGTGTTGTATTATGCCATAACAAAGTTTTATGTGTAAAACTGGCTTCTGAGCCTATGATCTTGTATGATATTCTCTATGTCTCCTGTGAAAAGGCCAGACCTGGATTATTGTTGGGGATAACTCTATTGGTTTGCGTAACAATTGCATGGACATGGTGAGGGTATTTCGAGAATGTCTTTCTCGATAGACACCCACATTGGAGATTGTTCAGTTATCAGTAATAGTTTTGATAACTGTTTCAGACAAAAGGCATAATGATACCAGTCTATATGAGGGAGGCTGAGGCCTCCGTCCTCTATGGCTGCATAGAGTTTTAACCGATTTGTGTCTTTTTTTGTCCAGCCATAAAAAATTGTGTACAGCTTCATTATATTTCAATAATGCATCATGTGGTAGGCTTAAAGGTAGCATATAGCTTAGATAGTTAATTTTAGGGACTATTACCATCAATAAGATATTCATTTTCCCTATAAGAGAAAGCCCCAGCTTAGTCCAAATTGGTAAAATAAGCTCTATTTGCTGAATTAATGGGAGGATATTGTTCGTCATAATGTCATCTAGTTGTGGAGTGACTTTAATCCCTATATACGTAAAACCAGAGGGCTGCCATGCAAACTGCCATCCCTCCCTAACACTAGGTGGGCATAGGCTTGATAGGGGCATTGCCTCAGACAGTTTATTTTTTATCCCGATATGCCTGAAAAGGAGTCAATCAATGTGAGAATGTGCGGCACAGTTGTTGCAGGGCTTCTAGACAGTAGCGAAATATCATCTGCATAAAGGAGTAATTCATATTCCTCACCACCTGTCTTTATGCCAACTATGTAATCATTTTGCCTAATTTCAGTTGTTAATGGTTCAAGTACCAGGGCAAAGATTAAGGGGGTAAAGGGCAGCCCTGTCTTGTCCCTCTATGAAGCTGGAAAGGGTGGATGACGTGCCATTTATTACCACTGATGCCTTTGGATTATGATATACTAATTTGACTCATTTGTTAAAAGAGGGACCAAGACCAAAATTGTCCAGTGTTTGTAAAAGGTACGACTACTTCACACTATCAAAAGCTTTCTCCACATCAAGTGAGAAAACTACAGTAATGTCAGCCTCATTTCCAGCTTGCCACATAAAATGAAGCAACCTGCGGAGATTATCAGGTGATGTTCTATTTTTAATGAAACCCACTTGATCTGGGTAGTCACAACATTGTTGTGGGTCCCTGCTTTTTTTTAATGAATCAAAGTGATTCTAGCAGTTTGCATACTGTCTGGAAGAGATCCTCTCTCTACTGCATGCTGAAAAACTTAACATAGTCTTGAGGCAAGTAGATCTGAAAAAGCCTTGTAAAATTCGACTGGGAGGCCGTCCTCCCCTGGAGATTTCTTACTCTGTAAATTCCCAATGGCCTTTTTAACCTCCTCTACAGTAATGTTCGCTCCAATTTCACATTGTTCCTCATACGACAGAGCTGGACATCTTACACTCAACAAGAAGGATCTTATATCTAGTTAAGCAGGGTTGTCTGATTTATAAAGGTCTTGATAAAATGTGTTACATATTGCATTAATGTCAGCCTTGTCTGTCTTAGGTCACCTCTATCATTCCACATTGCCGGTACCAGTAGAATCTTCCTCCTACTGTAGTCTGGGGGCTGCTTAACATTTAGTGATGTCAATCTAACCAGTTCACCCATAAGACATTAACAAACATATAATTATCCCAATGATTTGAGGTATATATAAGGGGAGGCTGTGGCTCAGAGGTAGAGGTCTACTAATCAGAAGGTTGTGGTTCGATCCCTGGCTCCTCTGAACCACAAATTGCTCCTGATGCTGTATCATCAGTGTGTGAATGTACATGAATGAGTTAGTTTCTGTTCGATGGACTATACCATCACTGTTTGAATGTGTGTGAAAGGGCGAATGTGGCTGTAGTGTAAAAGTGCTTTGAATAAGACTAGAAGGAAGACTAGAATGGTGCTATACAAGTACAGATCCATTTACCATTTACCATGTATGCCACCAAAACATACCTAAGCTTCAGCTCTGTTGGAACATAAAAAACAGATTTTATGTATAACGCAACATTGTTAACAAAACATGTGCACAACATATCAAAAGAACAACTATGAGACAGATATCATCCCTTTAAGCTTTGGCGACCCTTAGTGGGGATCCCGACACCCAGGTTGGGAACCACTGCTTTAAGGAACAACTGGCAGCTATGGTATGAGTTACGCCTGTAGTTTAACGCTAGGTGTGTGCAACAACGTGTGTGAGAGTATATAGGAAGAGCAGAGAACGGCACTGAAGCCTTTTTTCTTGATGAAAAAGATATTTGGGCTCTTCTCATGAATGGCTTGGGCAAGACTTTTAATACTTTATATGGTTCACTGATCTGATTTGTTGAAGTTCGCTCGTGATACACTGATAAACAGATGACTGGGCTAATTATTTGTCAAGGATTTTTTTGAAAGTGCCTGGCCTTTTCCAAACAGTTTGAAAAATTACTTTCCAGATGGTTCTGGGTAAAAAAACATTTGGCGCAGTCAGTTTATTGACAAATTAACCAAAAAATAGGGACAAATTGTATTTTGCACATTTCAAGTTCTCGATGTAGTAAAACGTTGCCTAGACATATGTGTTTTTGTTTTTTTTGCCACTTTGGGGCTCTGTATGGGACAACTGCATTACCATGTAAAAATAAAATGAAAATCAGAAAAATTAATTAAAAGTTCACTGATGGATTACAATTATCTCAAACTCAACAAAGTCAATTTTCAAAACATGCTCGCATGAAATGAAAGTAAACAGTTGCACAGGGCTAACCAGCGGGAAACACTATTTACTTTGAAAAACAGGCAGGAAGAAAATTGTTGTATTTCAGCTTGCTTTATTTTTCCACCCAGTACATTTAGAGTTTGACTTAACAGGAGTCCATTATGCGCCTGATGGAGCTGAACTTCGGCATGTTGCTAATCCCCATCTCTCTGAAGTTCCTGTACTCTCCTGGCCTGAAGTACAGCATCCGGCCTCTGTAGTTGGGCTGCTCGAACATCAGCCAGTGACCCTCCATCACGTTGCAGGACTGGCAGTCAGACATGCGGAAACGATCCATCACATTGTCAC